ACAGGTGAGAACTTGTCATCAGCTACTGCTGCTCTGATGTCGCAACCTCCGCCGCCGCACTTCTGCAGCACGGTGGTGCGGCTCATAGCACTGCAGGTCATCAACACTGGGGTCAGTCTCACATTCTATAGATAGATAAATGTGACATTGATAGTTGACAGTAGTAAAAATACAGATTATTAATTTGATAAACGTATTGTATTCAACCTATTAATCAATGTTTCTTCTCCCGAAAAAAACAAATTAAAAAATTGTATATTGAATTTTTTCGAATTTATTTCGGCAGCCAGTTTGAAAGTATACATTTTTATGTATTGCACATATGTGCTACATTTTAGGATAGCTATTCATTGGAGCAGATGTGCGGAGGTACAGCAATATTTCCTTCGGGCGAGAAAACAGAGAACATGCTTATGAATCTTCTAATGCCGCTCTGTTTACGTGTCGGCAGTGGCCGAAAAGGTATATATTATTTCATAAAACAACTATTTTTCCCTAGACACTTACAAGCAAAATTGACTGAATGATTGTATAATAATACGCTATTTAAGTGATCTTTTTCCCGTAAAAACGTGGTTTTCTACACGTTTAAATTCTGATTTTGAGAACAAGTAGTCAGGGTACAGAAATATATTGGTTGTCAGACGTTCCGCCACTACGTCAGTCGGACGTGTCGTACGTGGTGTCGGCGGTGCTGTGCGCGCTGTGCCCGCCCGCGCCGCCCGGACAGCTCGCCGCAGTCAACGCGAAGCTGAACGCGGCAGACGCGCGCGCCAACTCGCTCACCTTCACTGGCAGCCGCGACATACGTAACACCACCAGGCTCTCCAATCAGCTCTACAGGATCGCCTTCTTAGGTAATACAAAAACATACGAATCATCTCTGTTTATTCATGGAGAATAAAATTGTTTAAAGTCCGACAAGTTCTAATCCCGTGGGCATAAGTGAAACTAAATTATGATAGCTCACTAGCGCCCTTCATACCATTTTGTATATCATGTTGTAGGTCCATGTAGGTTTAATACATTTTCTGGCAGAACCAACCAATAGCAGCGCCTCTCTAACCAGACTAGATGTTTATTAGTACTGTCATATTAAACTTTGATATCGTCTTGTATAGCTCTGAAAGTGATATGCGCGTGCTTCACGAGCGAGCTGTGCTGCGAGTGGGGCCGCATAGCGCGCGCCATGCGTGAGCTGGGCCGGCGCAACGAGGCCGCGCACCATCTCTGGGACTTCCTCGAGCACGTCGTCACGTACCGCACGCCGCTCTACGTGCTGCTACAGCCCTTCATAGTGCACAAGGTGCCCACAATTCTACCTTATTCTTAAATGTCAACTCTGAATTACTCTTTCAAATTCTGATACTGGCAAATCCGTGACTTGAGGATTTAAATGGCATGGTAATATATTTCAGTCTCTGCTCATCTCTGTATTTAAAGCAGGCATTGAATAGCGACTTTCCTGTTGTTTTTGACGATGTATGTGTTGTTTAAAATATGAATTAAAATGTGTTTTGTTTTGTGCAGCTATCTCAACCGCCTATTGGTGACCACGAGCGGCACATGCAGTTTGTGGTGCGCGAGCGTGCTCGCGGACTTAAACTACCGGCGGGACGGGCGCGCGGCGCGCTGCTCGCCGAGCTTGCTCGCGAGCTGCGAACCATGCGCGATACACACGATCACTACAAATTCGGTATCTCTTTATATTTCAAATATATCATATCTTTCACATTTATAAAGTTAAGTATGAAAACATTTAGATATACTTAATGTGTTTATATTTGGTTTTTGTTTTAAATTGTGATCGCACTGTAAATTTGTGTGCACTATAGAGCAGATAGCGGAAAGCCTTGGTGCGGCGGGGGGCAAGCGGGCTTCGGAGGCCATTCCGCGGGGTGACAAGCAGCAGCAGCACCGACCCTCTCTCATCTCGATGCTAGTGGGCCGCGCCGGACCCCCGCGCACCCCGGACCACCCCGCCGCCACGCTCTCCGCGCAGAGAGGTAACACACCATTACGCCACTGTCACTACATAGTAATTAATTAAATATAATGAAATTATATTTTTGACAGAATCAGTATCGAGCAGTTCAACAACGAGCCAGCAGCTGCCGCCGTACGAGTACTCCTGTCCCGGCCCCGGCCGCCACAGTGACACCAGCAACAACAACGGCAGTCTGCATTCGCAAATAGGTCAGTTTACGGGGAAGGGAATTGCCTTGCGCAAAGATGTCCTTGAGCCTCCAAAAATATTGCAACGGCCTTTGGTCTTCTAGCTTTATTTTATTTTTAATTATTATTTTACCTTTGCATCTCGCTCTATTAGTAAATATAACTTTTTTTAATATTTTTTCAAGGAGTGACCGCTTACTTCGCTAACGAACAAAAGCCACCTGGCGCGGTGTCATACGCGGGAACGCAGACCAAGTTGCGCTTCGTGTCGTCGGTCGAGTTCAAGCTTACATCAGGTACTTCATTGAAGGCACTAAAATAAACAATATTTATTGATTTATCTCATGATTTAAAACTACTGAATCTCACACTAGTCGAATGGCTGTTTGATTGATTGATTATGTAGGCGAGACAACAATGTCGCCCCTGTCTCCGCTGTCGACGGGCGAGGGCGAGGGAGAGGGCGAGGCGTCATGTGATGAGGGTGAGGAACGGCCGCGACTGCAGCGCGCTCATGGGCCCTCAAAGAAGACCTTCAAGTTTCGTCGCAGCCGACACGCTAGCAAACCCGATGTACGTACACAAAATGTACTGCACAAAATGTTGGTTTACATTGTGAAGTTAACAAGTTCAGTACCGCTAATTGTAAGTCGACTGTTAAGACATAGAGGCACGAAAACTGTTACGTATTCTTATAGCGAGTTTTATGCATTGGACAGGCGTACCCGTACCGTGTGGAGTGCGAGGAATGGGGCGGAGCGGGGATGGAGGCGAGTCCGCCGCGCCGCCCCCCGCTGCTACTGCCCCCCGCAGCCGCACTCGCCGACAGCTCTTACGACAGCGAGATCTCGCAGACATCCTCCACATCAGGATACAGGTACTTTAACACACGTTTAAACGTTGTAAAATAGAACCATATTCCTTTTATTTGTCAGTAGTTGTAAATTATTGGTGACAGTTATTGTCAAAATGACAAGAAATCTCAAATATCAACATTCTGTGACTATATGAATATTTTTTTTTATTTTTTATGTGTTTGAAATATAATGTGCCAGGGAGAGCTACAGCCTGCAGGCGTCGATGTCGGAGTCGCCGGGCGGGTCGGTGCGCGCGGCGCTGGCGTCCCCCGAGCCGCGCTCGCAGCGCACCGCCTCCGCATCCGCCTCCGCCACGCCGCACGCCAGCCCCGACGGTAATCGACCCTTCGTATGTACCCACTTTACATAAGGTACCGCCGCGGACAACTCTCTCTCTCTCTGTCTCATCCCCTCTTATATCTTATTCGACACCTCTAAAAATCGACGGCTAATAATGGCTATGGTAATCTTTATGAATTTTAATTATTTTTATGTCTAAAAGTTACGATTTGAAATGTCTTCGTGCGTGCATGAGTATCGCTTGAAATGAAACAGTTTTCTTATTGACAAAACTAAGAATTTATCTTTAACTCAACATTTAATCTATCCTTTCATTCTTGCGCTTTATTTTTTGGTATAACTATTAAGTAATCTGTATACAATTTTTTTACAAATGTGTTGTGTAGCATCTCTGAGCTGCGACTCATCGTCAGCAGAGCGCACCGCGCTTCTGGGCGCGGCCAGCCAGCGCAGCCTGCTTACTAGCGACCTCCGAGACGAGGACACTCTCTTGTAACTACACATTCCCAACAATTTATGGTCCACCTCTATAACTTTGCAGAGATTATAAAAATGAAGCATCCTTTCTTAAGTCATGAACGTCATTTGTAATTGTGTTCTATAACGTTACAAATTCTGTCTGCCAATAAGTTTAATGCGATAGTATGGCAACACTACCGTGTCATATAACGCAACGCATTTATTGTTTTGCAGGAACACTATCTGAATGTCTAATATCAGTCAGTGTTGCCATTTGCAAACTTCCAATTACTACTGTACAATTTTTGCAGAGTTATGATGTTTGGACCTTAACCACTTGGTATTAATTAAATGTTGAATGTTAGCTGTGTGAATTGTTTCAAAAGTATATAGATTAGAAATTGAGAATTATATACTGTTACACTAGTACAATTGTGTTGTTGTATGATTTTTTAGAGAAAGTGTAATTTATCAACCCAAGATTATTAAACTTGATAAAATCTACATTATATGCAGTCCCATTCCCTTTCAAACATTATAAAGATTTCTTTGTGCAGTTTTTAAGAACAATCTGGTATACACTAGAGGTGTCAAAATATGTATTGACAATTTAGCCTAACCCACTCAGATTAATACTGACCAAAATTTAAGATAATCCTCCAAAATGATTAACTGGTAAACAGTACAAAAAATTATTACTCTCTTTTTATTGATGATCTAATTTTCTATCCCTTTAAAGACTATCTTCCATCTACAATTATTGGATACAGTAATTAAATACAAATAAAATATATATACAATATTTATTAAATACTAATTTCTTATATTATACACCATAGCAGAATATTTATTTACATTGAGACAAGATGTTACACAGTGGCATACAAGAGGAGTTTCGAGAACAATATCTCATGGAACAAATCAAAGTAAGTGATGATTTAATTTTAACAATTACTAGCTTTATTTATATTATGTATTATCATGTTTTTAAACAGACTTTGGAATGAAACAATATTTACAAAGTAATGTATCCATTTTGATGATTTAGTCAACAATTATGGCTCTAAATGCATTCATATATATTAAGAGGAAATATTGTGATAGGTTAATCCATTTTTTCACCAGATGACAAAAAAAATTAACATCACAACAAAAGTATTAATATTGGCACAACACATCATTAGGATACAACCGAACTTGAATAACAAGTACCAAATTTGTGAATTAAATAAGAACAAAAACCTGTATAAAAATAAAAAATGTATTAATTATCAGGGTTCCTTACAAAACAAAAAAGGCTGCAGAGCCACCTGAATATCATGTTCTAGTGGAATTTCATGGATATGCTTTGAAAATGTAATTACAATTTTATATAAACTCCTTTTCAGGGCAGACAAAAGGGCTGTTCTCAGTCTTAAAGCAAATTCATCATTCACAAAATGTTTTTTGGGTACCAGACCTGGTTTTGTTAATTTGTCAAGATTTTGCTTCAGATTCACTAAAGATGTTATCACCTCTGGGATGTCTGTTTGGACTATACCATACTTATCTTCCTTCAATGACGCTGCTACAATTGTTGCCAGTCCTTCACAAGTCCAAATAACAGGTTGGGATTGTATCAACAAAAATTTCAGTCTTGTATCAGTAAGTTCACCAAAGAAATAACTAATCCCTGGCTTCTGGCACAATTTTTGAATGAAATTGTTGAATTCCGTCTTCACTACATTGGTAAATGCATTGTCTGTTGCATGTTGTTTATGATCTTTTAGCTCAAATAGTTTTGGTGAATATGCCATGTTCCTTAATGGGGAAGAATACATTGATGAACTCATCGGTGGGATATCCGATACATTACTTTTTTTCATTTGGATGTTATATGAACTATCTACTTCACCATTACTTCCATCTCCATTTATATTTTCCAATTCTTTATTAAATTCATTTATTATCCCCAAACATTTATCTAGCAAATTATTCCAGTTTCTTGGATGTCCTCCTGGCTGAGATAGAGTGAATATATCACTTCTTCTACAGGCATCATTCATGGCTAATCTTTTCAAATCTAGCGCTGCTAAATATCTATTGAACTTTGATGTCTGAGCCAGGGCATTGCATAATGTTAGTTTGGTTTCAGACTCAATAGGGAATTTCATCGGCTCAGTAAGCACAATATTGAATACAGTTCTCATTGTAAAAACTGATATAAAGAATAAACTTGTATAAAACCACAACCCAATATAAATACCAGACATGAACAAATTAAGAAAGTTGTCTAATGGTGGGTCTTCTAGATATAAACTGTAAACATCACTGACAATATTTCTGGACTTATTGCCCCAAAGGTTATAGAAAAGACAAAAATATACAACTGGCATAATTGACTTTCTGAATCCACTGGAAATTATATGGCTTATAACTAATTTAATTTGCTGAAGTTTGTCTTGGTAAATGTGTGGGAACGTCAACACAGTTGTACCAAGTATATGAACACTAAGAAAGTAATACATTCCCATCCACATCCCACCAAACTGTAAAAGTAAGCTTTGTTCCGAAAGGCACTGCCCATCATATTTTTCACAAGCTTTTTTCAAAGTATTAAATTTGCTATCTGCTAAAGATGTGTATAAGTTTATGCTGAAATATCCATTGAGAGAATATAAAATACCAAAAACTATATTCTGGAGTGTAAACATGTTGAAGAACATTGAAAATCTTGTAAAGTATTTAGGTTGTTGCACTGTGTAATAAGTCCCGTAGACATAAGCTTGGAAAAATGACACCAGACTGAGAAGGACGACATTTAACCCCATTTTCCAGCTGAATATATCATGAAAAGTTGATACAAGCCACGACACTGGATGTAAAGGATCGACTTGTATAACAAATACTAGCCCCGTTGCAAGCACAGTTTGTAGAACGATATTCCATAACACTGCCTTCACAAGTCTTTGTGAAAAAATTTCGTTTTTGGTCTCCATACCGGTCTTTAAGGTTAATATTCTATTTTGACATGACTTTCTTCGAGGTATAAAGACGCGCCAACTTAGACTTATGGCTTTATGTATATTCAATTCACATTTATAAACAATGGTTATTACAACACAATTCTTTTACAATCGTCTTCTAAGGAACAAGTAAGATTAAAACTGATTTGGACAGTTAAAATATAAATTCGAAACGAAACGAAATTGAAATTGAGAACATAGACTATAAATAAAAATTAAAAAAATAACGAAATACGGACAGTGTTGCCACCAAATCAGGAAATAATATCGCCAAACTTTAAATCATTGTATTCCGTAAGTCGCTTATGGACCAAAATAGCCGGGTTTGGAAGATTTACGTTGCCGTGTGTATGAAGGGAGTTTTTCGGAATTTTTTGTCGCCTACTTTATCCCTACCGAGTAACAAGTAAGTATTTGGTAACAAATAATTTATGATGGTAATCAAAGAATATATAAAATGGTAATATTTAATCATGATGGAATTCGTGCGTTTATCAAAGAACAGCTTCGGTTAAATTTCAACTTCAACCGTGTGGGGAACTATTACAACAAATATGCAACAACGCCTGGAAAAGGCATAAATATGCAATAATATTTTAACTAACGCTAAACATAAGATAATATTTTTCCCTGAAAACACTAACTGTTGGATTCTTAATTTTGACATTGACACTGACAATTTCATTTAAATTGGAATTATTTTGTCCGTAAATCCAAATATAGATTTATTTTGTATTTACAATGATTTGCAATTTTATTTCTATGTTCAGAACCGACGTAGTCACTGACCTGTTTAGATATAAACACACATAATTATATGCATATTTATATTTATAGAGCGAAGTGTACGTAGTAGAACACATGATCTCTACTAAAATTTATTTCAATTCACAGTCTTCTTCACAATCTACAGACGCTTTGTCAATAAAATAAAGGTAACGTTATAAATATTATGATTTTCTTTCTTTATTTTCAACTTATAACAAAGATGTGTAATTTTTAAAAATTTATTTTCAAGTCAACAGAATGACAGCTTCAGATAATGGACTTGAAGGGTTTGGAGTATTTCCGGATGAGTTACTTCTTGAAGTCTTCCAGTTTCTACCTATTGAAACATTACTGACCTGTGAAAATGTTTGCAAACACTGGAGGAAATTAGCACGCGATACTGCACTATGGAGGAGATTTGTTATTGTTTACTCTGGAAAGCCGGGACAAAGTGAAGTAAGTGAAAAAAATTTGGAGATTATCCGTAGTCATGGAAAGTTAATATTCCGCTTAAAGCTGCAGTACTTGTATAGTTATCAAGAAATTGAATCAATTTTGGAAAAATGCAGTAATCTTATATCTATAGAGCTAGTTATGTGCAGATTAGGTAAAGAATTTGAAGAATACATAAATAGATGGCCTAATTTGAAGAAAATTAATTTGAAAAACTCTCTTGTTCTGACAAATGATGATGTAGTAATTAATTATGATCATTTTCAACAGCTTAATTTCTTGGCTTTATCAGATTTTGGACTTTCTCCAGTAAATTGTAATACATTATTACATTGTCCATATTTAAACCATATTCTTATTGAAAAGATTAAAAACTTGAGTTCAGATTTTGTAAAAGAATTAATAATGTCTAAGCAGGAAACATTAATTACATTTCATATTTATGGTGGTGATTCTATAGATGACAATAGCCTGCAATTATTATCACAATGTTCTATGTTAAAAGATTTGGCAATAATAAGATGTGAAAATCTTACGGACAAGGGCTTAATATCTTTAGTAAATTTACGAAACATTGAACATTTACAGTTCTGGAACAACACAAATTTTTCTGAATTAGTTTTGCTCCATACAATGAGCAGTCCTAATTTAAAAACATTAGAAAGTTTAAGTCTATCTCGAATAAGAAACATTTCACCTACAATTGTTGATGTTATATCTGAATATTATAAAAATCTTAAGTTTTTAGCTGTATACCAGTGCCCAAGAATTATAAACACTGATTATGAGAAACAGTTAAAATCAAAATTCCGCAATATTGATGTAGTATTATATTGAATATATTAAAAATATATATATTGTATTTTAGTGTTTTTATATTTAATAAAACTGTTTAAATTGTATCATAAAACCACAATAGCTTTATAAATATTTATATTTGTATTAATAGTTTAGTTTTGTAAGCTGTTATGTTTCAATTCTTAATTTTATTTATAGATGATTCCAAAATATTTTAATATAAGTATATAAGGCCTAAATATCACTATTTTATTTAATCTAAAATCAATTATTCCTTAAGCCTTACTATGGTGTTCCTATTAAAATCTTTATCAGTGCTTGTTACAGGAGATATATTAAAGAAAAGAATTGAAATGGCATATGTACTTTATTCCTTTAGTAAAACGGTTTTGGATTATAAAAATTGGAATGGTTGTAGTTTTGGGATGATTACAGATTTTATATTAAGTATTCAATGGGACACATTCAGTACACCTTATATAACACAATGTAGGTGTTGATGATAATTATTTACAGTAGTTGTGGTGTTCAATTATATCACTTACATTTTAATGTAAAGTTTTACAACTACATTAATAAATAGCACCATACAAGAACTAGGTTTTCTAATCATTTACCATATTTAGTCATATCTACTTTTACGTTAATTACACAGTATTCATCCTTTAATGGCTATTTTGTTATATCAAAGGAAAAAATCATATTACAAATAATCACAAAAAACCAAAATATTGATAAGTACACATTGTGTGATAAAAAAGGTCGTAAATAAAACTAATGTTTAATATTGCGCTAACAACCTTCGAGGTTTTGTAATTTTAATAACAGAATTCAGGTACTATTTTGTAAGTCGCGTTTTCTACATATAAATGAAAAAAAAAATTGCATGAAAATATAACAACATAAAAAGAAAGGATATAGTAATATCTGTTTAAGGGTAAAAATAATATAAAAAATATTAGTTACCGCACATATAAACAAATATTGCGACTTATATTTGTGCAGTGCCATATTGTAATGGAAATTTCAGTCCTTTTATGAATGTAGCAGTTATTGTATTAGATATTCATTTGATACGAACAACGTAATTAAAGCGATCTTAGTATAATACAATCACTTTTATATACGGAAATTTCTATATTTAAAAAAATTGTATTTTGCATTATATTGTATTGAAAACAATTGTCTCTAGGTGTTTATTAAAATAAGAATTATATGTAAAGTTAAACGTGTGCCCGTAGCGATTAGTACATTGTAAAAGTTGATAATAAATAAATAAATCCAAAGTAAATACTGATTGTAAACATTTCAAGGCCAATTAAATAGTAACTGACAGTCACAAAACATGGCGATATAGCAATCTTTTCGAAATCCGGCCAAAAATAACGCTTAAGCAATTACATAACAAATAACATATCAAAAAGCAACAATAAAGTAGCCTTAGATTATGATAATCTTATTGATAAAGTGACAATTAATAAAAGCTCAAATATGCCCAGATAAATCTTATTCTCATTAGGGAACACCATGCAGTCTTATATTTAAAAAACTAGTTTCAAGTGTTTAAGAGTTACATAGACGTTAATAAATACACATTGAAATTACAAACTTAAAAATTAAATGCAAAAGGAATGAAAACTCAAACTTATTTTTCCATATGTTATCAAAAAAACAGATATTAGGCACAAATGAGTCGAATACAGGTTGATGTCAGACTTGTATTACTAATTTTTTGTAGAGTAGAAGAAAAAAGAACTCCTAGTGTATATCTGTATTTTATAACGCCTTGTAATTATAATATGAACACAAATAATTCTTAGAATTATGTGTCAGTGTCCCTGCGGTATATTTCGGTATAATATCATTAAAAATATGTTCCGCTATGTTTATATTGTACATCTACGTTACAAGATTATATACACGTAAAGTTCATACAACCAGTAAAATAAGGTTAAAAGAGTGACATAAATAAAGTACACGTCATAAATGGTGATTACAAATAACAAATAAGTTAATTACAAACGCGAAAATAAAATTTCACAAATATTTATAATGCTCACACTAAAAAATAAACTTATATTTATAAAAATAAGGTCTGTTTAATATTTATATCACAGATACCAGAGAAAGATACACATCTTTCTCTTTGGTATTATTTAACGAAAATTTAGTTGATAAAATAAATAAATTAAGCACGCAATCTTAATGTGCCGGGCGCGGGGTCTTACTAAATGTAAAATAAGCTCTAAGTCGGGGTGGTCGAAGTTATTAGTTAAGTCACTACAAAAACGGGTTAATACTTCGCAGTATTTCAATTCAATTTTATAATAAATCTCAAAATTCGCTAATTTTTATAGAAAATAAATAAGTCCTTTATGTAAAGTTGAATTAATGACTTATATACAGTCCGAGCAATCAATAAATGTAACCTCCGACCACCAACTTTTCAGATATCTTACAAAATAATATCATAAATTAAATTGACTACTTTTTCATAAATTATAAAACTGAAATAATGTACCAGGACTTAAACTTGGAAGTAGTCGCTGACGATGCCCTCGGCACCGCTGTTAATACTGCTTTTGGGGTCCCTGTTCGCGGGCACGTTGATCTTCTCATATCCGGCTGCCGAGTCTGATCTCTCCACGGAATTCATAGCAGCCTCATTGTTCACTTTCTCATATGGCGGTTCTTTCTGCGACAATTCAAAATACTTTACACTTTCGTAGTTTGGATCCTTTTTGGATCTCACCGAGTCATACTTGGAATCTTTAGAACGCACCGACTCATATTTTGGGTCTTTACAACGCAAAGATTCGTAGTTCGGATCCTGCGCGTTAACACTTTCATAGTTTGGATCTTTCGGTCGTACAGATTCGTAGTTGGGGTCTGACTCACTGCCGGTCGTGTAGAATGGATCGTTCGACATGGACTCGTAGTTGGGTTCTTGCGCTCCTTCGTCGTTGTTATTCGCCGGCCAGTTATTGTACTTTCCGGTTCGCTTGTTGACGGTAGAGTAGGTGGGCTGCACCTTGTAGTCAGGTGCGATGGTAGCGTAGGGCGGGGTGGGCGGCTGGTTCCTCAGCACCTCATAGTTAGGGTCAGAATCGGAGGCACTGTTGTCCGGCTTCGTAATATGCTCGTAGCCGGGATCGCTGCTTATAATGCTATTGGGTCCGCTGTCGTTCAAATGATTCAACTTCAGCAGATTATTGTTGGTGAAGGTCGAAAGGGTTTTGTTGACATCTTTCACAGTCTCATAGCCGGGGTCCTGGCTCTGCGAGTTTGTGCGCTCCTTGTGTGCGATAGTTTCGTAGCCGTGGTTGGTGGATTTCTTACGGTCTATGGTTTCGTACCCCGGGTCGTCGCCGCGGAATTTGAGGGTGGTGGCTTCGGGTTCGTGTGAGAATTCGTTCTGTTTCTTTGTTGCTTCGTCGGGTTTCGCCTTTCCTTTCTTCATGACCTTAGCGTACATATCGTCGAGGTTGCGCGAGGGGCTCTCGGTGACGCGGTGGTCGGAGTTGATGCTGAGGTTGGCGTCTGCGGAGGAGTAGTCGCTGGGTGCGGGGCCGTCGATGGAATTGTAGAGGTTGTCAGTGGCTCCCGGCGGCGGCTGGTGGTCGATGTCTATATCGAGCTCCCTGGCGACGAGGGGCCGCACGATATCGCCGGAGCTGAACCTGTGCTTTTCCACGGGGTAGTTGCAGCCGTAGAAGTCCGAGGAGCTGACGCAGCTGTTGTTTCGCTGATGTTTCTCGTTGAGGCTCCGTCGAAGCTTGTCGTGATTGAAGTGAAGGTCACCTAGAATGTTTTAAATTTGATAAAATAATGATAAAGGCTGATCTTAGGTATTTTATTACGATCGTAAATTATATATTTGCATGTACTGACCTGTACTAGATATGCGATGGTGTCGCTGCGACTGTGTCAGCGGGGCGTGTGTGTTGTGCGTGCCGTGTGCTGAGTGTGTGCTGTGCGCTCCATGTGTGCCGTGTGCTGCGTGTGTAGCGTGTGTGGCTAGCGGGGGCGGAGGCAGGGGAGAGTTAGCGACGCGCTTCTCCGGCTTGGGCGAACCGAGCGCGCCCGTAGAGTTCGAACACGACGACGATGATGCTGCAAATACATAAAACATTATTACTGGAATAATCATTGATTTATGTTTAACACGATTCTGTAGAAAATTACTTACCTTGTCTAGAATGCGTCGCATGTGATGTTGAGGCACCGATTTCCGGAGGGGCACTCCTTCTGTAAACAAAAGGCATTACACTGTAAGAAATGTTTTTTATAATATAAAAAGCAATGTCGATTCGTCTCGTGCTTAAAGAATGAAGCTATTTACAGTTTTCTTTCTTTGCTTATGATGAGTTTGTAGTAAAGAAAGTAAAACTACCTGGTGGCCAGTTCAGATAGCGGTGTAGCAGCAGAGGCGGGGGCTGGTGCAGGTGCGGGGGCGAGGGGCGTGGGGCGGGGCGAGGTCGCGGCGGCGCGGCTCGGGCGCGATCTGTGCGTACGTGTCCGAGCCCTCGCCCTCGCCCACACTCGCCTCCTCTATCGCCGCGTACATCTCGTCTGGAAACACGTACACATACAATTGTAATGTGAGAATAAGATTAAGAATATCGACCAGACGTTATTTATTTAAGATGTAGACATTAAACAAACCGGAGTCATCAGACACGGTGGCGTAGTGCGGCTGCGCGGAGGGCTTCACGCCCTGCGCCCTGATGTTGCTGAGCGGCTCCCGCACTGAGATGCTCGTGTACCCCTCTGCAAATGCACAAACAAACGATTCCATAGTATTCAACTTTTGTGTATAAACATAGTGTAAAGGGAATGAAGAGGACAGATATATTAACCGCCATGTATGTACATATTAAATTTGACGTTTCTCTATTTACGTAATATAAAATTAGAATTGAAATATGATTTGCAATCTTTGCTGTGCGCACAGGACACTTACTAGCCGAGTCCGTGGAGTCCCCGCTGAAGTGCTGGGTGTTGTCAGTGAGGGGTAGAGGGCGCGGGCGCGGGGAGGGCGGAGTGATGTACGGCAGCTCCTGACTTGACGGCAGCTGACCGCTGATAGCCACCGACGCCGATATCACCACAGCTTCTAAACATTTACAAATAACAATGACAAATATATGTTTTTTTTATAGAAGGACAAGAAACGTTCGCTTGATATACATCTGTGACAAGCTAAAGAGTTGAAGTTATTTCTTTATCTTTAATGTTATCACTATTTGCTCCCAAGAAGCTGAAGTTTTACCGGATTTGAGGCGATAGAGCGCAGAGGGCGCTTCGTGACTTTCACATCACCTATTATCAAACATTTTGTATACAAACCTGGACCAGGTTGCGTCGCTTCGCGCTCTTCAATCTGTATATCTCTTTGGGACTCTTGATCGGGCGTAATATCCAACGTGCTGGGAAAGAAATAACAAAATTATACCTGGAATAATACCATGAAATTTTCGGCGATGTAATTAGTTTAATTTTTAGCGTCCTAAGTCCGTATGAATTTGAATTTTAGGCTAGCAAATCATTATAATAAGTGATAAGTAATGTAAATTATAAGTCGCGAGAAATGAAAATATTTTATAAATCCCAGATTTTACTTATAAATCACCAAAAAAATTATCTAGCCGCCAAAAATAAATAAAGAACAACTTGATATGTAGACCTAAAATTGGAATCAAGGTCCCTAAAACAAAGATTTGATTAGCGTATCACAATGACTTCTTACGACACATTTTTCAGCAGATTTTAACTTTTATATCGTTTTTCTCATGTATCCGTGTGTTTTATTGATGTTATTTTCAGAGGATTTTGTAGAAATAAATACTTATGATAATTTTACAGACTTAGAATAAGATCAGAAGGACTAATTTCAAGCTGTTACAATTTTGTCTACTGTTCGATGTTGTTACATTGTTACGTCTATATATTTTTTCTCTTCATAATTTATATAATATTATACATTATAAAACATGTATGGCATTGGAACGCACATTGTTTATGCTAAAGTACTCATGTCGGGGACAACAAATATGTCATCTTGTTTATTGTAAGCAATAAACTGTTTGATGTCTCCTTGAGACAGAGCACTTAATTTTATTTACGATTACGACATGAGATATTATTTACGATAATGATTGTGCTAGTGCTAGGAATAAAATTTATTTCTCCATATTATAAGGAAAAGTCCTTGAAGATATAGTGCTAACTTTACGCCATTTCTGTTTTCATTCAATATTGCCTTAACCACCCAAACATTGAAAAGTACCAAAAAAAATAAATTATCAATCTTTTACCAAATTAAAACTGTCAGAAGTAAAATTAATTATAAATATTACAATAAGTTTCTCTTTTAAATTTTCTTTTATACAAAATGCATAGCCTTTTATTCTTACGATATGGACTTATTTTAACACCTAGCACATTTCAAATATTAGTGGAGTTAAGGGTCTGACTTACAATGTGACGGTTGGTGGTGTGATTCCCAGTAAGCTTGTAAGAAAGAGATGATTTCGATATTTAAATATTTTAATTTCAGTTTTATTCTTTTAAAAATATCTACCGATTTCTTTCTACCCGACTTATAGGAGTTTTTCTTTTATCGAGTATGTGTGATTTTTTTTCCTGTAGCTCAAACAGTTTGTTTTCGAACATTATTAGATTTGTGTTCGTATCGTCAATGACAATTGGTGTAGTCTAATTTAACCACTGTTTGTTTCTTGATACTCACATATTGTGATTCTCATTCTGCAGTTTAGCGTACGCATGTTCGTAGGGATGGTCTCTGCTAGTGGATGCTGTCGGTGCGGGCTTATTTCCTGCGAATCACAAATCGCGTATTACACTTCTTATTATAATTAAAAACTATTATCGATTCCTAGTAGCGGCGCTTTTCAAGTGGAATACGATTTGATTATATCGAGAGGCACGATTAGATTCGAAGATTAGTATAACTAATCCGGTAGCATTGATTTATCGCAGGCAAAAACAATTTGAAGGACATTTTGCAAACTGCATTCTTTTACACGAGTTTTAAAGTTGTTTGGAATAAAGTAGGAAAAAATGTTATTAAATTTGGCCAATAATATTTTCATTCGTTCATATGGATAAATAAATAGGTAATAGACGATTTTTGTGTCTTGCCAAACAAGCTTTAACGAATAATTAATATGAAATCCTCTAAGAGACTACTTTTTTCTTAAGGCTTCTTTGCCATCTTAAGTACTATACAAAAATTCCTTACCAAAATATTGCTAAGGCATTTATCGTGTTACAAACTTTACCTTCATCTAAATTAACAGTAGCGTATATTTCGGAGGCCGTATCTCCACTGTCGTGCCTGCCCACAGGGTGTGGGATCTCCGGCAAGCTGCGCTGAGAGTTCTGTGTCGATGCTCTGTGTAACAACAAACTTTATTATTATGTCAAACAGTATTAAGTCACCTGTATTTACCGGCCCGCCAACAAACCTTATTGGCAAACTAAGATAGTTGTATTTAGAGTTTTTATTTTTGTTGAACTAACATTTTGGTCAAATTAAAAACTCTAGTAAACACAAATCTAGTAAACTTTCTAATACTTTCACCGCAGAGAGTACTCACTTATTGTTATTGCAAAAATATCAGCATATCTTTTCGACCAAAAACGTGATTACACAGTTTTACATAAATACAAGTTACACATTCATTAGAAAACAAATATTGTTAAAAGTTCGTAAATATATTCATCATATATTGATTTAAAATTACATTTTGAAGACTGCAAACGAAATCATAAAGCTAAAAGTAACCACAACATCTATATGTTTGGAAATTTGACAATTGTAGAGATTTCTATGTTAATATAGTAAGGTATAAAATGTGTGATTGAAACAAGTCCTATTGGTTACTAACTAAACCTATAAGACATACATTTGACTAATAGCTAACAGTTTTGTGGCTACAAATGAAAAGTTTTTATTATTTTAATGAAAAAATCTTGTATCTCTACATGCAAAGCAATTATTATTTTATGTTATTTCTAATTAAACTCAAGAACTGTTATAAAAACTACATAAAAATTAGTATTGACCATGTTAGTATAAGCCACAATTGCTTTGTCAATGAGAAAAAAATATATAACACTTAAAAAAACATAAATAATTAAATATTTAAAATATTGTAGAGGAACATACAAAACATAACACTTTTTCAGTGTTAGACAGTAAAATATATTTGATTGTCATATAATTCAAAAGCCAAGCTCTTTAAAGGCATTATTGATAAATAAAATGTATACATAAATTTCTTTGCCCAACTATATCACCAAAATTTTCGATTTTATCTTAATGCCAAAGAAACTACTTCAAATTGACATACTGAGGGTGTAAAGGCTTTTGCAGAATATCAGTGTTTTTTGCCCCCAGGGGTAAAAAACATACAGCTGAGCAAAGGCCCTATCTGTTCTGCATTGCAACGCTTCATTGTAATTTCTTTGATTTTTTCTTTTTTCTCTTTTTGGTTGTGTTATAAGTGTTGTTATGTTTTTGAACGGATTAAATGTCTTATTATTATTAAATAATTTTAGCTACAGCGGCTCTTGGTAATTATCTAATAATCTAGTAATCATATTGTAAAATAACTATTTCAGAATGTCACATAAAAGATTAAAACGCGAACAGAAATCATAATTAAATCTAATTATCTTCGGTGGAAATTGTAGTAGGTATGAAACACAATGACTCTTAATGAATATAGATTGTTTTTGCAGACACATTGTGGGAACACTGTATGTGTACTGGATAATAGGAACCAATAATATGTAGTGATGATCTCAGTGTTCATACAAACCATGAAATGAATGAAACATTAGCACTTTTGTACTAGGATTAATATCAAGCTTATCATTTAAATAGTATCACATATCATAACAATTAAATTAATCATAATAATGCACAATAGCTGAAAATATTATCAACTTTTACATAAAGATATAATATTCATGTAAAACTTTTTTCTTAGACCAGATTATGACATTGTATAATTTAGATTTATATACATAGAAATGTATTAAGACATTCCAAAATGCTCTCTCCCTCTTAATCACAATATTAATCTATTTTCTACTATATGCATTTATTTAAAAAAATACTGTTAATCATAAATTCATTTTTTTGGGTCCAGTACTATTTTATTAGATGACGGTAAAGTATTAAGTAAAAGTTTAAAATAAATTTGCTCATAACCAACAAAACACTACACAATAAAATCAGCCCTTACCATATACAGGGGAATATTAAAATGTTATGTTTAAGTCTTCAAGGATGTTCACGAAACATAGACATATGTAAAAAAATAAAAACCGCTATAAGCCCATATGGATTATTTTATAAATATAAAAGAAATAGACAAATATTTGTGAAACAAGCTTCATTCTCATGACAGTTAATGGTTTGTTAAGTCTATGTTAACTAGACAATATTTAGGGCATGCTAACTAAAACAAACCGCTTGACGGAAGCCGGAGTGGTTGGCGTTGGAGATGGTACCTCCTCATCTATGTGGATTTTGACCACACCCGCTGTGCCAACCAACTCACTTCTGTTAAATATAACATTACATTAACAAAAAGTAAGTTTTCAGTTTTTATTAACAGTAAAGTTAACCATATATAAAGTCTACAAATGTCTTGGTTTTTGTTCTTGTTGTCTAAAAGTCATATATAGTACATTTTAATCAAGCGATTGGGTAAAAATGCATGTAATATTCTACATTACATACATTAGATAAATTCTGAGAATAATATATAAACAGCAATTTGCTGCTACTTTTTCTTTTTTATGATATTGAGTGATTGATTTATTATTTTTTTCCTTGAAACAGTTCATATGACTATATTCTTAGAATCTTACTGAAACTGAACTTCCAAACATTTTAATTCTGATAAAATATTAAATAAACAATTAATACCTACTCAGGATAATCTAAATGTGAAAAATAAATGGATGGAAATATTCTAAACTATATTAAATACCATAACATAAAACCCTATGTGAAAAATCAAGTTGCATTAAAATAATACATATTATCAGATTTCATTATCTTAGTTATACACAATGATGGTTCACATACAACAATAATTGTATGATTCATTGTTATAAATGAAGAATATTAATTAGACTTTTGCAAAGTGTAATGAACTATTTTTATATTTAGGTGAAAAAGCTGACAATATTATTGCAAATAAATTGAACATTAATTGTGTTTTTAAAAATAAGCATCAAATTATTGAGCTATGAGCTGATTTTATATATTTTTATTGCATATAATATAATTATGTTATAATTACTTACTTCTGATTGGAGTTCTTGCATCCACAAACGCATGCTGAAAGTGCGGTGATGAGAGTGATTATCACTCCCACGCTTAGTACAATCTCAACTATAGTATACATAACAAGTGTTTTAATTAATGTAAATCCGGCATAAAGGCGGAACACATTCCATTACAAATGAAATATTAAGTCACGCCTTTGAAAAGGAACGATACGAGAACACAACTTTCTTCCATTTGAGCTAAAGTACAAGAATGTAGGGCACTGGTATACACCACTGCTATATCGAAAGAAAACTGAAATGAAACCTCCTCCTTACATTTCTGTCATTAAGATAGCAAGTTTGCAATCACTCGTTCTTAATCCATTTTCGAATCTAGTTATAACAGAATTACTATTTGTAAATTAAGAAGTTATCCTTGTGCACCTGCTCATTGAATTCTAGTTTTGCAAAAGTCAAAATCTAAATAAATAACACAATTTTCAACAGATAATATCCATACGTAGTTTGAGTAGAAAATGTCAAAAATACATCAATAACCAATAGGAAGAAAGTAACACAGAGTATAATTCACTACCGATATTTATGTTTCTAGCGATAAAAAATAGCGATTTAATAGCAGTACACTAACTGTTAAACCCGTTTAATCTGTTGGAATCGTGAGATTGTGACGTTTATTTTGACTACGAAAGATATTCTGTCATCTTCGATCTCGGCGTAATCGGTAATAACAATTTTGTAGTTGCACTATTTGCTTTTAAATTAAATAGTTACACATATTGGAAAATCTTAATAAAGTTTGACATCCAACAGATCGTTCATTAACAATGGCTGGCTATGCGAATCAAAATGAATATGCGTGGTTACCTCCTGATAATAGCCAAAATTATACTTTTGATAGCACCGCAAACAATTTTGCTGATTCCTCCCAAACCTTAGGTAAGTATATGTTCTATGCGACACATTTTTATCACATGATAAAATGTAATTGATAAATCAAATTGTTAATTGCAGATTTTCAAACATTTTTGCCAGAGAGGAGTTTCGCTTACGACCAAGCTCAAGTTCCATTGGTACCTCCTAACAATAATCAAGGTTATAATCCGAGCATTTTCACCCCTGCGGCTATTCCAAGAGAAGCAAATGCAGCTATATCAGAATTTGATGAACCACCTCTATTAGATGAATTGGAAATATACCCTGATAGGATATTAGAAAAAACATTAGCAGTACTTAACCCATTCCATGGTCAATCTAAAGCAGATGATGCAAACTTTTTACTAAGAGATACTGACATTGCAGGCCCTATTGCATTTTGTTTAGCTTTGGCTGTTTGCCTTTTTCTTTCTGGCAATAAAGCACATTTTGGTTATGTTTACGGGCTTTCTGTAATGTCAGTTATATTAATGTATTGTTTGCTGTCACTTATGAGTCGTACTGAAGGAGTTTTTACTGTTTTAAGTGTTGCAAGTGTTTTAGGATACTGCATGTTACCAATGGTAGTACTGGCTACTTTAGGAATATTTATATCTCTTGAGGGAACTATTGGTTTAAGTTTATCTGCCGTTGCTGTAATATGGTCTGCCCTTTCAGCAAGTAGGCTATTTGTTACTATGTCAGGTGACACAGAGCAGAGGCCTCTCATAGCATATCCTTGTGCGCTGGTCAATGGAGTATTTGCACTGTTGGTACTATTTTAAACTGACCTGAGCTAAGGTCCACTTTCCTTAAATTTTTTAAAATGTGGTCTTATTCAACTTATTTACATTTAAAATATATTTAACAAATGACAATTATAGTAAAATAAGATTTTACTGTTTATATTTAATTGTTTGAATTATGTAATTAATATACCTGTACAATAACAATAACAATATTTTAATTGTATTTGTCAAATACTACTACTATAAACAAAATTTTACATAATCAGTTTATTAATATGATGTTAAACCCAGCACTTTATTACTGTTGCTTTGATAGTTTCTTAAGATTGATAATATATAAATAATAATAACTGAAAAAAAATCTCGATAAATTTACATGTATATGAGATGAATAAAAAAGTGTACATTAAGTAGTCAATGCTCTGAAACCAGAGACAATGTTGCCACAGTTACCAAAATTGTAATGCTATTTCTTACTTTCCACCTAAATGAGTTGTGGTAAGTTGAGCTATCATCTTTCATCTGCCTTGAAACCTTAAAGAATATTTTCTCATCTATGTCTCAAAATTCATAGAAATTTCTATCAAAGATATAGGAAGGTAAAAGAAGTGATAAAAAACATCACTTTACAAAATGAAGTAAATGGTTTAATACTGGCATTATTTAAAAAAGGAATACATTAAATTAAAAGTTATCAACTGTTGCCAGTAAGGTTATCAACATTAAGTAAATCTAAATGGTACTAGTATAACAAGTTTTTAGCAGTATTTTCATTTATTAAATAACATTCACTTTTAGTACATGGTTGAAACATGTTCCTTGGGTTAGGACACAATTCTTACTTTATATTCTTAGGGCATAATTATAAGTGCACATTCTCTTTTATTAAAAGATCTTAGTGATGCTTTTAAAATAAAAATCTTGATAAAAAGTTCTTATATTGAAGAAAATAAATTTAGTTTATTTGGTATATTAACTGTAAAATGTTTTACAATAAAATAATGGTACTTTACAATGCATTACATATTTTGTACTAGTATGAATTTACAAAAGAGATATTTTATTTAATTTTTATTTATCAGGTAATGAATGCTCAGGGGCAGAGATTTAATTGTATATAGCTCTCTTTTATGGCATAATATTATTCTTTTTCAATATTCACAACATCATTATTAGTTTCCAATACTTCTTAGTACATATTAAGGAACTATCAAATCTTGATTATATTAACATTTCAGTGTGCTAAGATATTATTTATCTGCCAACAAATCACAATGTTTGTTTTATTGCATTTAATTTACAATTCTCTGAAACATTTATAATAATGAGAAAAAACACATAGATTTTAGATTATTACTAAAAAGTACAAGCAAACAAGATTCAGAAAATTTGTTAGATAAGATACAGTAATGGTAAAGTATTTTTGTGTCAATTTTCAAACATAAGGGATCATCTATTAATCACCTGAGCCACCAAGGGGGCAGGGTTCCGAAAAAATCATGACGGATCAAACAAAGGCAAAGGGGAGGAGGTCTAAAACAAGTTATCACTGGTTTTTAATATCTAGGGGATAGTAGTCTCATAAGAATGCTGTGGGAGACACAAAAAACTAAAAAGGCTAAAAAAACATCCTGTGATTAATTGATGATCCCTAAATAAAACAAATTGTTCAATCCATGAATTATATTAATAAATAAACTATTAAACATTTACTATTACATTCTATTGTATAGTGTTGGTCGGTCACTGAAGAAGTTCTTGAGAACCATGACCTGTACAAAAGTTACGCATACAATAGCCAGTGTCTCTCCCATTGACCACCAGAACACTCTCTCATTGAGATCTTCCGCTCGCTTGCGACTTTGAGCCTCTCTTAATCTGTGATGGGTTTGATGATCAATTATCCTGTTTAGTGCAGAATGAATTTCTTCTGCAGAAGTTTCCAACTGTAAAAGTAATTAGTGACTAAGTAATAATCTAGCATAGTAACATTACTTTAAAAATTTGCAATTAACTATATTTCTAACAAAACTAAGAAATTAAGACAATATTTACTGTAAATAAAATTAAGTTACCTGTGTAAGTACTGTAGCATGGTCTCCAACTCCTGGTAGTGGTTGTTCAGGTCCAACATTCAGTTCCATATACACAAGTTTATGTGAGAAAGTACTGAATTCATTGCTGAAGCACACTTTGTACACACCTAAAACATGTATGAATTATAAATTAATATTACATTCATAGGTCAGAAAGTCTACATTGTATTGTGTAAGGACTTTTAAACAATAAAAAAGTAAAATAATGTTAATAGGAAACAGGATTCTTATCACAATAATAACAATCGCTTTTTTGAGCTCTCAATATCCAGTTTCTTATGAACATTTTTTTAGTATAAACCATGAAAGTTTTAACTAAAATTATAATACAAAAATAATATTACCTGTATATTGTGCTGTAAATTGATGTGAATCATATTGCATTTTCTGTTGCTGATATATTATTTGCTTATTAGGACCTTCTACTTTTACGTCGACATCATACTGTCCACCAGTAATAACCTGGATTATAAATATTTCTTTTAGTAAAATTGTATAATATGTGTATTACGTACAAAGCCGCTCAGGTACGGTCTTATTTTTTTCTAACTCTTAAGTAAATCATCGAAAACTCCTGTCAGAAATTGTTTATCTTAAGGTAATCCTTACATATTTGAAGATGATCTGTTTATTAAGTCTCTTACCTGGTATTCTAATGAAGCCGAAGTATTCTTTTCAATGTCTTGATAAAAACACTCTACAGCACTATCAGGGAGTTCGAAAGTTAACTCTACGCTTTTGGAAAATATTCCACTAATTAATGTGACTAGTATAGTAACAACGATGGGAGCGATAAACATTTTTGTTATATACTTTACCGGGTTTAATTATCCAAAAATACTATCTAAGAGCGTAATGCAAATAATTTATGATGCTCATTACTTGACAAGATAATGACAGCGACAGCATACACGTAAGTAGGTGCGTTCGAAAACGTCTAAAACAGATTAAGCAAAAAGTATAGCGATTAACGTACTCACCGTTAACAGTTACCCGTTAATAGCATTTAACGATAAACTGATTTATGAAGTAAAAAACAAAACTAAATGTCTATGGTTCGTCATATAAAAAAAGTTTTGCGCTATTCTGCACAAGATGTTTGTCGAATCGAATTGTTTTTTCTGTAGTTACCATTTCCGCGGGAGTCGTGTTCTGTAAATATGCGGCGAATTTGAAATCCACTTTTCTATATCCTACTCAAAAATAGGCTTCATGAAATGAATAAGACCTCACGCATTTTAAAATGTCCGTCCACTTCATTGTCCGAGCAACGAAGCTTACTAAGTGGGATCTTATAACACTGCTCCCAAAATCTGTATATTTGGAGAGTCAAGGTCAAGGATATGGTAATAAAAAAAAGACTAACAGTAAAACAAGATTTATTTAAATTCAAGAAAATACAAATCGAAATTACAACTTTCGCTTACAATTAAAATAAAATTAAAACGCCATGATTTCAATAAAGAAAAAATACTGTGATTAAAATGTCTTAAAGAGTTACGCTGTGTGCTCGGGGTTACTAATGGAGAGTCTAGAAAATGCAGCCAATGTTAAGAAATTGCAGTAGCTTAGAAGGCGAGGCCGGCGTCGGCGTACGTAGTGAATATCTTCTCTATGGAGTTGGCGTACGCGGCGGTTCTCAGATCTAGACCGAGGTTGAACTTCATTGCGGTCTTCATAATAGCCTGATCACAAAAAGATAAAAATATTAATATCACCATTATAATAATAGAGGGTTTAATTTTTTTACTTTTCCCAGTCTAATATTTCCACAGAAAAGGTACTTAGAAATATGTTGTAAGGGTGTATTTAACATTATTGTTACATCTTAACTGGTATGTGTGCGTTATTGTGCTGTCAGGTAAATTTTGAAAAAAAAACAGCAAAAGGTTAGGAGTAATATAACAAAAATGCGTTCTTATCCAACGAAATATGCTGAAAAACATTTTTTTCCGTCTGGAATTGATTTTTGGAACAACCAAGTATATTATTTACTTGATACCCAAAAAATACTAGATAAGACGCGATGCCATTTCGTCAAAAAATTGAAAATATATTTCAAATTTTTAAGCAAAGTAATGTTTACCCTAGCAGATCTCTCCATGGTGTAGTCTAGACCGGAGTGCACGATGTCTTTCTCGGAAGCGCCGGAGATACGTTTCTGGAAGGCCTCGGACGGCGTCACCGGAATGCGACCGCCCACGCGACCGAAGCGTCTTTCTAGGGATTCTTGTACGGATTCTGTCACACAACATACAAATCAATTACTGTAAGAATAAAATCTTCTTATCTACTATCAAAATGCCATGATTCATTCACGGAAATAGGATTTTTCTTTATTATAACTTTTATAAATTCTTCTGTATAGATTTCAGAGTTCAACTCACCCAAGAGATGGTGGTTGGAGTCACGCTCATATTTGAACGTGAGTCTTCCGTATGACACGTGGTTGAGGTTCTTGAGCCATTCGAAGAAGGAGACGGTGACACCACCAGCATTGATGTACAGGTCAGGGATGACCAGGATGTTTCGGTCGATCAGGATCTTGTCGGCTGCTGGGGTTGTTGGTCCATTGGCAGCTTCCGCGATGATCTGGATAACCGTGAATTTTAAATTAAGCCTTATCGTGTAATGTGACAGTGACGAGCAATAATTTTTATACTAAACGCAGTTCTTGAGAAGCCTTGCATTGCTAATGTATGCAAAGCTGTGTATCGACTATTTTGTGTTGTTGGTCAGTGCAGGTAATAAAAAATATAAAATACGATTAAAGACATCATAAACATTAACAACAGACTGACCTATTGGTAATAAGTTATGGTAGAAATAGTACAATAAACGACCCTTTAAAATGTTTTTTAGACATCATATTCATGTATACACAATAAAACATTATCTTGTTTTTATTTTTAACAATAAAAATAAAGATTTATTAGTAACTTTGGGTCTAAAATTTGCTAAAAGACTTTAAGACTTCACCGTGAGTACATGCCTATTAACAATGGGTTTACTTGTATTTTTAGCCACGAAATCTAATTCGTTAGTTACAGCAGTTTATAACAGCGGATATTTTTTCCTAGACAATAAATAACTTGTAATGACTAATACGAGACCAAATGGCAACAAGGTTGACAATATTTGACATTGTTGAAGAGATAAAGGTGTACATATCAATGATGTATTGAGATTGGCTTCTTAAAATAATGTGTCGTCGGCAAAAGGTACCCTTATCTTATCGTTTGATAACGTACTGATAAGGTTTAATTAGCAACAGGGGCACGGCGATTTATATTAATATTTAATTAGCTTCATACATTGTTATCGGTAATAATCTAATCGATTTTAAAATCGATGGTAATTTTGTTTCTATGTTCAAATAATACTTTTTTATTATTAAAAAATTTTGCACATAAATATTTCATTTGAACCTGAGATTTAAAACAAACATAATATAACAGTTTAAATCTGTTTTACAGACTTTTTTTTAATTTGGTACTTATGACGTTAATTATGGCGCGAAATCATGCACGTATATAACACGCGTTGCACATATTCATTCATAATTATTTTAAACATATAATTTGCAAGATATTGTTACATGTTTTATATTATTACTTATATAAGTACTTTATAATTTTACTATAAGTATAACAAAGCATTTTTATTACCTAGTTTGCATAGATGGTTTACTTTACTCCATTGAAATAATCTTATCAATTTTATAAAGTCTTGATAATGTTATTTCGTACAATCTTATCTTTGTTACAATCATGTAAATCGGTCCAGAATTCAGATTATTAGGTATATATCATTTTTACCTAGATTTGCTATCGTCTAGGATAGGTAAAGCAAGTTGGAATATTCTATTTCATCCCCTCTTGTCTATTTCTTTCTGTCCAAAGATTAAGTAGATAATTAAAATGAAAATACAATTGGCTAAACTGCCGAAGATCGATCTGAAATAAATTCTATGAGTTATGTGAGCCTAAATGGTTACAATTGTTTTGAAGTGTAAGGTGTCATTGATATAGCTTATTTTAGACATTATTAGGTAGAATCCTTTGTCGCGAATGGCGCGCTTTCATTACAAAGTCAAGTGTCAGAATTATAAGTGAGGGGATATAAACGTCGACATTTTAGTGAGGCTAGTGTCGGATTTTCTTCGTAACACTCATTACCCTCAAATATCATAGAGAGTCTGTCTGTCTGTTTGTTTCACAATTAACTATTTAATATTGATTACCTTGGCCTGTATCTTGTGTGCGTTCTCCTTGTGTATGACCTGCTCAACGGCAGCGGGCACGAGAATGTCGCATTTCTCGTACAGCATGTTCTCGCCCTCGTACGCCTGCGCTCCGGGGAAGCCCACGATAGTACCCTTCTCGATACGGTAGTCCTCCAGCGCCTGCAGGAAACATAGTTCATTTAAAACATAATGAAACTTCATGATGTCAAGTAGACTAAAATACATTACTGTTTTAAATTTTTCGAATTTCTAGAATGATCCATGCCACTATGAAATTGTGTATAAAAGTTACATTGTATTAGTGAAATAAATTATGAAAGTAGTTTATGTAAACGCGACAAATCTTTGTTTAGTGAAATTTCAAAATTGACAATATTGTCGATTAGTATTATCAAAAACTGTTGCTTATAAAAAAGCTGGGAGCAAGAAAAATCTTTATAAACCTAATTTCCATGAGAATTAATAAAAAAAAACTTCATCTAAAATGAGGAAACTGTGTGTACAACTAGATTTAATCTTTCCTTTTTGACGTAAACGGTTTAAATTAAATAAACAAGCTGGACAAGGACGTGACGCCGCGTAGTCTTGTTACTAGGTACGGTGAGTCGTCCTATATAGCGAAATCAATAGATGCGCTACACGTTAAGAATTGCGCATCACTGCAACATATAGTACTCTTAATACGAGTAAATTTTTTTTAGTCCAAATAATATAGAAAAATAACGATGGGCAATTCAACCTAAGTAAACAAAATTGTAGATTCCTTATATAAAATCTACACTAAGGGTAGCTTTGAGTGACCGTTCAATGACTAAGTGCAACAGTAAACATCTTGAACATTGGATACATTCAAATAGACAAAGTGTTCAAAAATTTCTTCTAAATACAGAAACTTTTATTATACAAAAACCGTTTTTAAATTGCTCCTTTTTATGAATAATAACTCATTTTTATTTACTAGCAAAGTAATAAACTGTCATGTGTATACATAAATACCATACTTAAAATGTACTAAAATGCCAAGAAGCCACGAACCGTGAAAATAATATGTTAGTTAAGTTAAAGATTTCATCTTACATATAGTCGAAATAATTGTATAAAATATTGTCATCTCGTTCATTCCCTTTCAAAAATGAAGAGACAAAAATATGATTGGAATTTCTCGGTAAATATATTTGGGTTCACAAAGTAACATGGACGATTTTCTTACGAACCTAACACAAACATGTGTTGTGATTAGAGTATTAGAGTTGTTATGTTGGTACATTACAATCATGCTGACGTCATAATACTGTCACTAATAAACTACGTAATATCTACACCGCAATCGTTATTCATAAATTATCTATATGTTATCAACTAAATAAATCAGTCTACATTAAATGGAATATTTTTAATTCTATTTAAAGTTATCTAAAATTTTCAACATGAAATTTAGTTTTCGTATTCGTTTTCGTAAAAAAAATGTCGTCGCTGATTTCTTTTCCAAAGACAATGTGGAGGAAAGATAATTTATTTTCCAAGTTTTTTTTTAAATTGCTGAATTTAATGTGAAAATGACATTTTTGCGATATGTATACTGTAATTAATCTATAAAACGTCACAATATAAAACTATATGTTAGATTATTTGGCCGCAAGACTTATTCATTCGATTGGTCAGACAACATT